GCATGCGTGTGCCCATAATATACAGAATCTCTGTGTGTGTGTGTGTGTGTGTGTGTGTGTGTGTGTGTGTGTGTGTGTGTGTGTCTTCTTGAAATGAAGCCATTTCTAAGGAAATCTGGCCCAGACCAGCATATATAGGCTTGTTGCTGAGTTGAATTCATTTGCTCTAAAATGACCTGGAAGCTCTGAAACTTATGTTATTTAGCCCTGAAACAGGTTATGGCTTTTCTTTCTGTTTTTTCCCTAAACTCACCTGGATCTGAGTACAGCCTTTGAGTGGCCACCAGTGCTCCCAGTCCTTGGTAGCTGAAAGCCACCTGATTTCCCTCTGAGCAATGTGTTGCTGTTTCTAGGCTTTTCCATGCCTGGGACTAAGCAGACAGGCTCAGTTTCTCACTTACCCCTGTTATGCTGCCACACAGAGATCTGATTGGCCCAAGTGGGTGCTTGTGTTGCTCTAAGAAATGGGGCCACAATTCTGACCAGGCTATGGGAGGACTTGGGAAGAGGAGGAGGGATTGGCCCTTGAAGGCTGACAGGCCTGTCAGACTGATGGGTGGTTAGCAGGAAAGAAACGAGAAATGGTGTCTGTCGGTGTATTTGGAGGAGGAAATACTGAGAGCTTGCCCGGGTATCTGTGAATGAGAGGCAGGAAGTAGTCTGTAATCTAAGGACATCATTTTTCCCACTAAGGCAGTAAGTCACACTCCTGTGTGCTATACATAGTGAGTTTTGAACTTTAACAAGGAAAGCAATTCTCTGTCTGGCAATTTGGGGTAGGGGTAATATAGGAAGCAAGAAGCGTGTTCCAGAAGTTACTAGAAAAATCTGGACAAGCAGTGGAGAAGGCTTTGTGCCTCAACGTTGAGAGTAGAGATGATACAAATGTATACTAAGCAACCCTGAAATAAAAGTATATGTGTTGGTTAACTTTATGTTGCTGTGACCAAACTACCTGAGAAAAGCAATCTAAAGGTGGAATTATTACTGCTCTATGGGTTCCGAGGGTTCCATCCGTGATGGGAAGTCATGGCACAACAGCATAGTTCACAGCATGGCCATTGGGAGGCAGAGAATTTTCTCCCCTTTTATTCTGCTGAGAGCTGATCCATGGAATTTTGCCACCCACGTTCAGGTTGGGTCTTTGCTCTCTTGGTTAGCTCTTTCTGGATCATCTATCCCAGATACTCACAGAGGTGTGTCTCAGTCTGCTAGATAATTCTAAATCCAGTTAACTTGACAAGGAAGAATAACCATCACTTTAGATGTGTATGGGGCGGGGGGAGTTGTGTGGTTGGTTGGTTGAGACAGAGTATCACTATGTAGCTCAGGCTGGCCTTGAACTCACTATCTTCCCAAGTGCTTGGTCTGCACGTTTGTTACCATGCCCAGCTGTACCTGTACATTTCTTTTTTATTTAAGTATATGTCTCTCTGTATGTGTATGTATACATATAAAGGCAGTGCCCACAGAGGCCAGAAGAGGGCTCTGATCCCCTGGAACTGGAGTTATGGACAGTTGTTAGCTGCCATGCAGGTGCTAAGAACAGAACCCAGGTCCTCTGCAAGAGCAGCCAGTGCTCTTAAGCTCTCCAGCCCATCCTTGCATTTCTTGATGGGCAGCCACTTTTCACTCCTGGCTCACACCATCTCCTCCTTCTCTCTCCAGGACCAGCTCTCAGAGCCCCGCTCCCCAGCCAATGGTGACTATCGAGACACTGGAATGGTCCTTGTGAACCCCTTCTGCCAGGAAACACTGTTCGTGGGAAACGATCAAGTCTCTGAGATCTAGCTGCAGCAGCCTCCACTTTGCCACTCCTTATTTTTCGTCTCTAAATTATAAATATACAAATATATATTATGAATATAACCTTTGTGTAACCCTGAAATAATAGAAACATTTTCAGCTTTTTTTCCTAAAACTTGTCAACATCTTTTTTATAAGTGTGGTTTAAAAAAAAAAATCTTTACAGAATGACCCGTGGCTTTATAAAATAAAGGTATTTCTAAGCAAAGCAGTTGCATTGATTGCTTCTCTTAATAACTGTTCTTGAGTGCTTGGAGGTCCCAGGAGCCCCAGACAGGTGAGGGAAGAGATCAGTCTCCTATGCAAGCTGAATGTTAAAATGACCATGTGTGTGATATGGTTCTCAAAGCTCTGGTTCCCTTGACTCTGTTATGGCTCCATTTCCTGTCTCCTCCTGTACACACTAGTGGAGGGAACTGGTGCCCCAGGGTGGACGACAAAGACACATGTACAAAACAGAAGGCAGCAGCTTATTGCCCTGGAGCTTTTCTATCTTAAGTGTCAAGTTTAATGGAATCTATGGAGGACGTCAAGGCATCCTAAGACTCCAGCCCCCTTATGTGACACCACAGAGTGCCCCCACCATCCTAGCAAAAGAAGGACTGCCTTTGCCTGTGAGAAAAATGCTCCTGAGAAGGCCATCTCTGCAGCAATTCCCCTGCCCACCTGCCCTGGACCCCATGCCTCTCTTGATAGGAGAATGGAGATATAGATCTCAGCCCTGGGACTGTGCAATGCTTGCCCATTCTTGTTCAAGGGTCAAATGTTTATTAGAGTTCAGTCTTGCTTTCTCCAAAGGTAACGGTGTTGTGCTCGCAAGAAACAAGTTTATCTGGGAAACCTTAAGCTGTAACAGTCATTTTAAAAACAAACAAAAACAAACAAAAGACAAGCCTTCCCCCTCGGGATCTTAAAAAACAAGATTGCCAAGTGAACAGCTCAGGAGAAGCACCATTCTGTCCACGTGCAGAGGTGCTGCAGACCTGCCCTGGACTTGGCAAGAGCTCCTTTGCTCCCCAGTCCAAGGAAGGTCAGCTGCCTTCCCGGCCCTTGCTGTACCCAGCACAGCCAACAGGGGGCGGCGGGGGCAGACTCTCAGTGATACCCGAGGGGCTTCTGGAGGCAGCTGCTCTGTTATTTTCCTAACCCAGAGTAGCTAAGAAAGAATCTAACTTCTTTGAACCCCACTCCCTTTCTCTAAAAGAAAAATAGTTTGATAGTATATTTTGAATATAGATGTTCTTATGGTCCGACTTGAACTTGAACGTTGATTCTGATGTCTGTGCTGTTGCTGTGGTCCTCTTATCATGACTTTTTCCTTTCTTCCTCCATTTTCCTTTTCAAAAAGCAAGACGGCCTTCAAAAAAAGTGTGTTCTCGATGTTGTGTGGACCTACTTAACCTGAGTCTGCTTGTCGTCTGTCTTCAAAGACTCCAACCCTCAAAGAAGCAGGTTACATGTTGCGCTGAGTTCGTTCTCTAACACGCTGCTCTCTGTCCTTCTTAACTTTATCATATTTCTGTTAGCTACTGCATTGAACATATCAATGTGCGTGAGTATGTATAGAGAGAAATCTGTTTGTAAAGTAAAATTTATATATAATATATGTCATCAAAGATACATATGTTATATATACATTTGTGGATGTATCACTTATTTTTCCGTATCCACAGAATTCAGCTACCATGTATATATGAATAAACTTATTTTATTACCCAGAGGATCAAGTTGCTAATATGTTTTGCATTCTTTTCATGTTAAAGTAACTGAAGTCTCTTTCGGTGATACCATCTTATTTCCACCTGTACTTTTTAATCAATTAAATTGAATTTTATGAGCATGATAAGATCATAGGATCAGCAAGTTATCACTTGGTAAAAGTGATCCCTAAGAATAAGATGTTCTTCACATCTCTAGAACTTTAGTATCAATCAAGGTGCTTCTCTTTCCTTGATCCCAGCGCCTCAGGATGATTTCTTTGGATCTAAGAGAAATCTAAAGCCATAGAGTGTTACCATCTCTGGGAAGTAAAAAAGCCCAGACATGACAGCTTTACAGTCATCAACTTAAATTCTTCATTTAGCCTTGAACAATATCCTGGAATTGACTAGAATACATCTCCTCAGGGCCCAGCAACACCACCCATATTGGGAAGCTATTGCTGTAACAGAGGCTCATGTGCACTGTGGGCACTTCTGGGTCTAGCAGATGTATTCAGAGGAAGAACTTTCCATGTAAATAAGCCAGGGCCTATAAGCTACTGGCCTTTACTTGATTCCATTGTTTCCTTAGTCTGTGAATCAAATAATTAAGTTGATATTTCATAAAGTATTTCCTGGGGACTCAAGAGACAGGTCAGTTGCTTTTAAAGGGCTTACCTTACAATTGTGAGGACCTGAGTTTGGTCCCCAGAAACCATATAACACACACTTATAATCTTAGCACTGGAGAGGCAGAGACAGGCAAATGCTTGGGACTCACAGGCCAGCCAGTCTAGAAGATAACTAGGATGTGTGTGACCTTGGATAGATGCCCCGCTGGAGATAATCCTATTTAAATCTCAGACTAGAGAGGCTTTCTCATCTGAACTCTTCTGCTTTCTGGACATGGGACCTCAGGGTCTTTATCACATAAGGATATAATATCCCACTATATACATGAAAATAATACTTCTGGAGTTGTACAGTGTACAGTCCAAACAGCAGTGCATTTCAGCCCTATACTTTTCTACCTTCTGATTTGAATTTAGAAGTTGGAAAAATAGCTTAATCAAGCTCAGCACTGGACACCCTCAGTCCCCACCAGAAGTTGGTTCCTGCCCCTTTCTCTTGTTTAGGATCTATCTTCACAGTATAAGATCAAGGATAGTATCTAGCTCTGGATTTGAAGTGCCTGGTTTCAATGCACTAAAACCTCACTGCACTGGTTTTTAGGCCGTGTTGTCATGCCCAGGCTGGAGGAGCCATGCTAACCCCCAAGAAGAACTGGGGTATGATCCTTGACAGCATGATTTGAAGGATGCTGAGAGCAGGGATTTAAGCCAGGGTGCCCAGCAAACCCTAACTTACAGAATCCTTGGGTGCTTTCTAGAAAATGCTTTGTTGTTTTCACTTGTTAGTCTTATTAGAGGGGGAAGCCGGCAGAGGTGAGGCCAGAGCCTAATAAACATCTGCCTAGCAAGTACAGAGCCTGAACTAGCTTGAGACTCTGTCTGGTATATCAGAGTTAGCACTTGAGCAGTGTGTGGAGTGGAGTCTGGGGAGGAGAAACACGGCAGACAGCCAGCAGCTGATAAGCAGTGTCAGGGGCAGGGATGAGAAGAGAGGGGAAGAGAGAAGCTGAGAGAGGCTTGGAACAGCTGCCAGGCCTGAGGGACACAGGCAGCAACTAGCCCCTTAGGACACCATGGCTGGCTGTCCTAGTTTGTTCTTCATTGCTGTGACAAAATACTCTGACCAATACCAACTTGGGGAGGAAAGGGTTTATTCATCTTACATCTTCCAGGTCATAGTTCATCAGGGAGCCCAAGGTAGGAACTCAGGGCAGGAACCTGGAGACTAGAGCACAGGCCATGGAGGAATGCTGCTTACTGGCTTGCTCCCCTGGCCCCTGCTCAGACTGCTTTCTTATGCAACACAGGCCCACCTGCCCATGGGTAGCACCACCCACAGTGGGCTGGGCCCTCCCACATCACTCATCAAGAAGATGCCCTTCAGACATGGCCACAGGCCAGTCCAATAGAGGCAATTTCCCGATTGAGGCTCCCTCAACCCAGGTGTGTCAAGTTGACACTAAAGCTATCCAGCACACTAACCGTCATCCAAGTCTTAACCATACTCTAACCCTAAACTTAACCTTGGCCCAAACCCTAACCCTATCCCAAAACTTAATCCTAATCCCAACCTTAAACATAGCCCTTAATTTGACCATAAACCTAGCTTTAACACTAAACCTAAAACTAAACCTAGGACTAACTCTAACACTTAAAAGTCTCAACTGTGGGTGGGCTTCTGTAAAATCCAAAACAAGTACTGTCTTATTTCAAAGGGAAGAATCGGGCACACCTAAGCAAAACCAAAGTCCAGCAAAGTAGCTCAAGGCTGGACATCTGGGATTCACTCACGATCTTTGGGGCTCCAAAGGGTACTGACAACTCCACTGCTCTGACTCTGCAGTCCACAGCACACTCAGCTCATCTCGCAGACCCAGGCCAGTTCCATTCCACACCTACTGCTGTCCTTGGTGGTCGTCCTATGGTCCCAGCATCTCCAAAAAGCTGGGGTCTCCACTGAAACAGGCTACACCTTCACCAATGGCCTCTTCTTGCCTCTTGGGGTGCAAAGCCTCAGATTCTCTCCATGACCCCTTCAATCCTGGGGTCTTCACTGCAACTGAGGCTGCACTTTCACCTATGGCCTTTCCTGGCTTCTCAGAGTGCCAAGCCTCAGCTGCTCTCTGTGACCCCTTCATGCTTTCAACACCAGAACCATGCAGGAGATTCTTACACATTACCAAGTCCTGCTTCCAGCTTGAGATAGAGGCTCGGGTCCCCTCTGTGTGCTGACCCTAAGGAAATACCTCCCAGAAGACTTTACCACAGTGATGCTGGTCTCTTGTTACTTAGAGCTGATTTTTCAGCCCCAGCTAACCAGCATCAATTGTCCCAGTAAAGCAAAGGTTTTGCTTCAGGTTCTGGTCTCTTCTTAATCACAGCTGATTCTTCAGTCACAGCCAACCTGAACCCACAGATTCTCAACCCAGCTAAGGCACTGGCAACAGACCAAGTAAACAATTCCACCAAGTCTAACTAGGTAAAGCAATGAGCTTATTGGGGTTACAGGAGGTGAGGGATTACTTACAGGAGTATAAGTGAATCAAAGGCAGCTCCATCCCTGAAAAGTGTATGGGCAACACTCACAAAAGCTGTGTCCCTGGAGCTCCCTACCCAATTTGCAGGCAGCTCCACAGAAGAGTTTCCTACCTTCACCAATGGCTTGCTACTTATATAAGCTTGGGGAGGGGGCATTGTGAATCTTGTAGCTTTTTGAGCTTCCTGAGTCTTGTAAGTTTTCTTAACTTCCTGAATCTTAGGCACCTCTCTTCTTCCCCCAGGAAGGGCTACTTCAGTTCAGAAAAATAGATACTCAACACCATCTATGAGCACTTGAAATTGTACTTTATTTAGCATTCATTCCTCCCAATCACAGC